TATATATCTGTGAAATCCATCCAGTGCAGGGTATCATTTAAGCCCCTTGATTCTTTGGTGATGATATGCTCACAATATCTATCATTTGCACAAAGTGCTGTGTTGAAGTCTCCCAGTATAAGTGTATTATTACCTAAGTATGTCTTAATTTTGGTTATTAATTGATTGATATACTTGGCAGCTCCCACGTTAGGGGCATAAATATTCATAATTCTTAGGTCTTTTTGTTGTATAGACACTTTAAGTATGACAGAGTGTCCCTCTTCATCTCTTACTACAGTCTTTGGGATAAACTTTGATTTATCTGATATGAGGATTGCTACCCCAGCTTTCCTTTGAGGACCATTTGAATGGTAAATGGTTCTCCACTCACTCTCTCTTCCACTTCATTTACCCTACAAGTTATAGCATTCAGTTTAGACTGCATCTCATTTAAAGTATTTTAAATTTCTGCCTGATTAGATCTCAGTTCTGCAGTAAAAGAATCTCTTGAGTCCCTTATGCTTTTTTTTCCCAGAGCCATGAGTAATTTTATAATTGTACTTCTGAATTATATTTCTGACATTATATTTAAATCCTCACCCAGAAATTCTGTGGCAGAGATTATTACTTCTGATTCTTTCTTTTGTGGTAAACTCTTCCTTCTAGTCATTTTGTCCAGTGCAGGGTATGAGTGAGAAGAGTTAAAAATATCAACCATGACCTAAGTAAAATACACCCTAGATGATTCCAAAGAGGTCAGAAACCAGAAAATAAAAGAAAAATAAGAACAGAACAAAATAAAACAAAAGGACACTAAAGTGAAAAACAAATTTTCAAACAAAATAGTAAGAATAAGGAAAAAACAAAGAAAACAAGGGAATAAAATGGGTGATGGTGAGAAAGTGGTGGTGGAAAGAGGATATAATCTCCCTGAGGGGATCTTGAGGGTGATCCTCTTGGTTCTGACTGTATTTTGTTCTGTATGTTAGAAGATGCTCAATTCTAAATTTTTGTAAACCAGCAAAACTTGTATAGAGACCCAACATGGACCACAAAAACAGAAACAAGATAAAAGAGGAGGGCAGAATTGGAAGGAAGAGAGAATATAGTCTCACAGAAAGAACCAACATGGTGTTCCACTTGGTTCTGTGTGTATTTCAGTCCATGTGTTAGAGGGTTATAATTTCCACCATTATAAAACAAAATAAGACAGGTAAAAACAAAAATCCATAAGTCATATATATACCAAAATTAAATTAAACATGTTGAAGGGAATCCAATAATGAAGAATATATATGACATATATTTATAGAAATATGAAAGTCAAAAAGGAAAAAGTTTAAAATGAAGAGTTGGTAAAATATTGTGATTAAAGTAGGAAGAGTGAAAAAATATTGGAAAATTTGAAATCGAAATATAAATGAAAAAAATTAAAAAAAAAGAAATATAAATGAACGTAATGAAAAAAATCTCTTGTTCTATATACTATTTTCCCTCAGTCCTGGAGCTTTCCAGGGCTGCTTGTTCAGTAAACTTGCTCTTCCCTTGTTCTTCCAGCAGTTCTTTTGGGGGAAGGTCTACCACATTGATTCTCAAGTGTCTGTGCTTGGGTGGAGATACCCTGCCCCTTGCCAGTGCTGGGCTCAGTATGAGGTGTTTATCCAGTGATGCCTTTGTTTCTAGTGGCCCCACTTCTCCCAGGTGCAAGGAGAGAAGCAAGAAAATAAAAGATGGAAGCAACCAGATCTCCAGCTCCAGACCCAAGAGCTCCCCAGGAGTACTGAACCACAGTCTCCTAATCCACACTATCCTAGATGCTCCTGGAGGCAGGTGTGAGGGCACTGATTTGCACAAATTGCAAGACGCCCAGCAGCAGGAGAGTTCCCACTGTCCTGTGCCCTCAGAGTCCATCTCTCCCAAAGGGAACAGAGGACAGCCACCTCCGTCCATTGCCAGGATCTAGGGTAAAGGGAGCTCCAGTGCCGGCCTGCATAACTGGCCAGGTTCTCCCAAATTCCCTGGAGGATTGTTGCATTCCAGCCTTTTATCATGATCGACTGTGGTTTGATGTGCACATTGGAAGTTCCTCCTCTCTATAGAACTTTTTAAAACAATTTCTTACAATATAATTCTACTGGCAACAAACTCTTCAGTTTCGTTTGTCTGAGAAAGTCTATTTCTCCTTTACCTTTGAAGGACAATCCCACAGCATACAGAATTCTAGATTGGTGTCTGTTTTTCCTCTCAAATCTAAATATTTCATTTCACTCTCTTGCATGGTTTCTGAAGAGAAAGTAGATATAATTATTATTTTTGTTCCTGTATAGATAGGGTATATAGATAGCCCAAGATTTTGTCTTTAGCTTTGATTTTCTGTAATTTGGAAATGATATACCTAGATGTAGTTTGTAATTTTGTTTTGTTTTATTTGATATTTGTCCTGTCCTGGTGTTCTCTAAGCTTCTTGGATCTGTGGTTTGCTATCTGACATTAATTTGGGGGAAATTCTCAGTCATCGTTATTTCAAATATTTCTTCTTTCCTTTCTCTTTTTCTTCCCCTTCTGTTATTCCCATTATCTGTATGTTATACCTCTTATAGTTGTTCTACAATCCTTAGATATTCTGTTCTTCTTTTGTTTCAGCCTGTTTGCCTTTTTGTTTTGGAGGCTATTAATGTATCCTCAAAGTCAGAAATTGTTTCCTCAAGTGTGAGTAGTGTACTAATAAGCCCATCAGAGGCATTCTTCATTTCTGTTATAATGTTGTTGTTGTCTTAATCACTGGCATTTCTTTTTTGTTCCATTGTGAAATTTCCATCTCTCTGTTTATTTTGTCCATCTGTTTGTTGCTCACTATTTATTTCACCCATTAGAGTCATTAACATATTCATTATAGTTGCTTTAAATTCCCTGTCTGGAGGTGTCTGGATGGCTCAGGTGGTTAAGCATCTGCCTTCAGCTCAGGTCATGAGCTCAGGGTCCTAGAATTGAGCTCCACATTGGGCTTCCTGCTCAGTGGGGACTGTGCTTCTCTCTCTCTCCTTCTGCCCCTCTCTATCACTCATTCTCTCTCTCTCTCTCTCTCTCTTTCTCTCAAATAAATCAATAAAATCTTTTAAAAAGTTTTTTAAATGAATTCTCTTTCTGATAAATCCAACATCTCAGCCACGGCTGGTTCTGATGTTTGTTCTCTCTCCTCAAACTGTGTTTTTTGCCTTTTGGTATGCCTTATATTTTTTTTTTCAGATCACTAAACATAATATACTGGGTAAAGGAATTACTAGAAATAGATCTTTTATAATCTGATGATTATAAATGATTTTGAGGCATTGAGGGAATGGATGTGTTCAACAGTCTTATGTTTAGGTCTCAGTCTTGTAGTGAACCTATGCCTCTGGACTGTGAATGTCATATTTTCTCAGGATTCTTCTCTCTTTTTGGTTGGACAGGATGGTTAGAGTGGGTTAGAGTTGGGTATTTCTCTTCCCCCAGATTTAGTTAGGCTCTGGTAACACCCCAGCTCTGCACTTTTTAACACTCAGACTTAACTAACTGAACCTCCAGCAATTTGTCAATTGCTGTTAGATTTTCCTACCCAGGTACTGGTTCCCAAGTGGCTTATACTTCTGAGTCCCTGCCATGGGAAGCCTCAAATACCTATACTTTGGGGGCAGCTGTTTGCCCTATATCCTTTCTTCTCTTTTGGGCCAAGAAGAGTTGTTGATTTTTTTAGTCTGTTCAGCTTTGTACTTGTTGTTAGGATGGGGTAGTAACTTCCAAGCTTCTTGCATGCAGAATTGGAAACCAGAAGTCATAAATTAGATTTAAATAAAACTATTTAAATGTAAACTTAGAAAATATTTAGAATATACATAATTAATAAAGCTTTAATAAACACAATATAAAAATTATTCTGAAAACCAAAACATAAGTTTAATAAACATAATATAAAATTTGTTTTAAAAAACAAAAAATTGTTTATAAACTCTGAACATTTTACAATGTAAAACATAAAAATGATAAATGCATAAGAAATTACTAATTTTTTTAAGATTTTATTCATTCATGACAGACATAGGGAGACAGAGAGAGAGGCAGAGACACAGGAGAGGGAGAAGCAAGCTCCATGCAGGGAGCCCGATGTGCGACTTGATCCCGGGACTCCAGGATTGTGCCCTGGGCCAAAGGCAGGTGCTAAACCACTGAGCCACCCAGGGATCCAGAAATTATTAATTTTATAAGTAATCAAGAGAAAGTAAACTAAAGTATGAATAATATATATTTCACCAGTAAATGTCAAAATATTATCCAATGCTTCTGAAGATGTGTGAAAATTATCAGAAGTTACCTACAGAAATTCAAAATTCTATTTGTAGGAATTATCCTTCCTCTTCCAAAAATACATAACTAGGAATATATAAACAAAGATGTTTGTTTCAACATTGTTTTAATAGGGAGAGTTAGAAATAGCATGGAATGGTGCAAATTGGGATATAATGAAATAAAATCAACCATTGGAAGTAAATGAAAATATGGCTTTTTGTACAATTAAGTTGGATAAAATCAAGTTATAAGACAATGTGTTTATTACAAGCTGCACACAGATGTTACAAAACATACACTTAAAATCTTCACAGTGGCTCTCTCTGGAAGATGATTCTACTTTCTACTTTGATGTTGTTTGCTATGTTGGGATACTTGGGTGACTCAGTGGTTGAGCATCTACCTTTGGCTCAGGTCGTGATCCTGGGATCCTGGGATTGAATCCCACACTGGGATCCCCACAGAGAGCCTGCTTCTCCCTTTTCCTCTGTCTCTGCCTCTCTCTCTGTCTCTCAGGAACAAATTAATAAAATCTTAAAAAAAAAAGAATTGTAAAATCAATCAATATGTTCTTACAGCCTTCTGTGGAGCATCGTAACAGGTGACTACAGAAGTGATTTAACTCTCCTATCTATTCTGGAAAATTAAATGTTTTTTTGTAGAGATGATAATCGCATTTTGTTTTCTTCTGCTAGGGAAAGGTGAGCATGGGAAACCTTATCCCCTCACTGAAGAGGACCGTGATGACTCAGCTTACAGGGAAAATGGTTTCAATATTTTTGTCAGCAACAGTATTGCTCTGGAGCGGTCCCTGCCAGATATTCGCCATGCTAAGTGAGTATAAGCGAGCTCCACATGCAGAGTGGTTTTCTTGGTCTTTTTTTAAAAATTATATTCAATGTTTATCACAGCAGGATATGTTACTATAAATTTTGCCATAATAATTTTTAAAAAATGCATTTATATTTCATGATCTTAAATTTGTTTCATTTAAATTGAAATAATTTGGGACACCTGGGTCACTCAGCAGTTGACTGCCTTCAGCTCAGGTGGTGATCCCGGGGACCTGGGATTGAGTCCTTTATCAAGCTCCTGTGGTGAGTCTGCTTTTCCCTCTGCCTATGACTAAGTCTCTGTCTCTGTGTCTCTCATGAATAAATAAATAAAATTTAAAAATAAGTAAATAACTTGGAATAATTTTTAAAGTTAAAAGGAAATAAGTACCAGCTTTCTAAAACTGAATTCACATTTTCATTGAATTGCCTGTATTATCAACATTTAAAATAAAGTATTCTAAGATATTACCCATATTTTTACCTTTGATCATGTAAATGTTAAAGCAGATTTTTTTGGGTGATTAGCACTGTCAGACCTGTCCACATATATATGACTTCATTTTCACTGCAGCCATATTCAGTGCCATTATTGCTACATCTTCCATAAAGAATGCCTACAATAAATGCATCCATAATCCAAAGGCTATGATTGGTTGCTCAGTTTCCTATCACTTTACAAATTGTGGCTTATCAATTAACACTGAGTTCAGTTTTTACTGAACCGTAGTTAAACATGTGCAAAAGGAAGCAAGAATGGAATTATATATAGTTTCTTAAAATCTCACCCCAATCTACTCTTAACATTGCTTACTGTACTTTTTTCTTAGCCTGTTATGATTTTCCTGTTAGCATATACAATGCCAAAAGTAAGCCAAAAACATACTATATGATCAGAATTTGGAGTTTGTAGAATTGCCATACATATTGGATAAATCTATCCAATTGTGCTAATATGTTTACCCTTGCCTGCACCTCAATATCCCTTTGGAATCATTGAAAGGAAGAAAATCCGAGAAAATAAAAATAACGGCAGGGCCCCTGGGTGCTGTAGCTGGTTAAGGTTCTGACTCTTGATTTCAGTTCAGGTCATGATCTCAGGGTCCTGGGATCCAGAGCCCCATGTTGGGCTCTCTGCTCAGCAGGGAGTCTGCTTGAGATTCTCTCACTCCCTCTTCCTCTGCTCCTTCCCCTGCACTCTATCTCGCTCAAAATAAATAAATAAATAAATAAATAAATAAATAAATAAATAAATAAATAAATCTTTAAAAAATAAGCGCTACTAATGAAAATAGAGATGGTAACCTAAATCAAACCAGTAATATACAACAAAACTCTTAATTTAGTGCAAAAATAATTAACCCTTTCAAAAAAATCACTAAATTAAGGTTTGGCGGATCAGTTTTTAGTTGCCATATTGTGTATTTATAAATTTATTTTAAAATATTAAAGAATTACTGGTTTCCTTCTCAGGTCTTATGTGAATTTGGATTTCCTGATATAGTTAAGCAGAGGATTAATGTGAAAACAAATCAATTTTCGCCTAAACTGAATGCTTTGTATATTGGTTTAGGCCTTCTAGCTAGCCAAATTATTCCCAAGTTACCTGAAATTATCTACAGTAATTCCCACTGACCAAGAACATTTCTAGTTATGAGAAATTTTAATACCTAATTGCACACCATCAAAGATGCTTTAAATTGCATTGTTGGCATAATAAATGTGCTCAGAGAATAATTTCTATCCACCTCCTCCCCCACCCCCACACTTCCAATCTTTTAATGTGTATTCAAGTGGAAAGAATTGCAGATGGAAACAGTGCAGAAAATCACTGAAGTCAAAAGAAAGCTGATATTCCCATTCTTTTCAGAGAGTGTATTTTTAGTATAACTCCACCTTTTGAGAAAAGATATTCTTAGGCAATAATGAAAAAGAAAACAGAAAAATGGAAAGAAAAATATTTTGAAATTTTTATTAGAGTTATTGAGTTATGGTATCGGAGGGCATTATTCTAAATGTTAGGGGAGACAAATGTGGCTAAAATATGGGCACAGACCATACTTAATTACTGAGGCTAGATATCTAGTGGGATAGTCCTCTACTAAAATGACACTAAAATAGCAAAGAAACCTTTTTTTAAAAGATTTTATTTATTTGAGAAAAAGCATGAGCAGGGAGAGTAGCAGACAGGGACAAGCAGACTCCTCACTGTGCAGGGAGCCTACGTGGGGCTGGATCCCAGGAACCTGGAATCATGGCCTGAGCCGAAGCAGATGCCCAACCTACCAAGCCACCTAGGCACCCTTAGGAAAAAACTTTATTAGAGGGTTGAAGATGGATGACATCAAAGGCTTAAGTGCAGGGCGACTAGGAGTGATAGTTTACCCCAGTTAGTCTAGTATCTAACTTTCAGATGCAGGAATACAGATCCACTGCAACCTCATTTGGTCAAGGTCCTCCATGTAGGAAATTGAGAGCCTAAAACAAAAAAATCTTACGGGGATCCCAATGTTGAAAGTCGTGTGCTTTTGACCTTACATATGCTTTTCAAAATGTACGCACAGATAACCACAAAAGCATGCAGCTCTGTGTGAGTGGTTCTTGAAATTATGAAAGCAAACTGACACATACTGCATCCAGCATTACCAGTTAACTAGGATGCAGGTAATTGACCACAGCTTGTTTATATTGGCAGAATCTGTGGAAGAGAATGCAAAATTTGTGTGACTTTTATAATCAAACATAACAATTCTCCATTAGCCAATTCAAATTATAGGCTCAAAGTGCCAGAAGAGAAAAATTTATTTTCTTTGCTCTGGGATTGTGTCATGGAAAATATTGGGGAATTATATCTTGCAGTCTTGGTGAGGGGTCTTTATTCCCAAACACAGAATTGTAGTTCTAACTCCACTGTTCTACCCTATGGATCACTCTCTCTGTATATACAAGTGCTCTCTCATTCATACTCTTACATTAAGTTTAAAAAAAAATCATGGTTCTAGCTGTTTGACATGCTTAGTGTATATTCTCGTTCACTGTAAAGAATTTTCAATTTTTAGAACATGAGTTATTTCAGAAATCTCAATCCAGAACACATTCTTCTTTTAGCTGTCCTGCTTCTTTCTTGTCCACTAGCATAAAAATGAACAGCTTTCCTTTGGCTGTATTATTTCATTAAGTCAGGAATATATTCTCATTAAACGGGGAGCCATAGATTTAGGAAAATCAGTTGACATGTGTCCAATATTTCAATTGTTCTTACTCATATCCTAATAATAAATTTCAATGGTCTAATTTATGTTTTTAAATATCTTACATTTTTCCAAAACTTTTAGCATCTCCCTATCTTGTATGTTACAATTTAATTTTTTTGTTTCATTTTGTTTATCATCTAAACTTTGGTATTGTCAAATATTTTACCCTTCTTCCCTATTCATACCTTTACCCTTTTGGTTGACTGTTGTACTTTTCGAAGACCCATTTGTGCATTTAAAATACTCCTTCTTCAGTTGCTGCCTAATTATGTCTACTATCATAGTACTTCGGCTCAACCTGAGATCTGTCCTTAAAACGTATTATTTTTGTATGTTATTTAATGCAATGATGATAAGAACTTTGCTATGAGAGTTTCTGCATGACAAATTATCAGTCAGTGGGTATCTTGTTGGCCTGGCTTCATTTTACTACAATTCAATTTCCTTCACCTGTATATTGATTGTGCATTTTCTTTGTATTCAGTCCCTCCTCTAGGATGCCACATCTCTGTGTACTGTAGAACATTTCATTTTGACTTCCAGGCCAAGATAATAAATATGAGCATATATTTAGAATAAAACTACATATAAAATAGGGAAGTAGAAAACCATAGAAGAATGAGTGGCTTGCATAGAAAAGAAACTCATACACTTACGTATGAATGTATTGTTAGCAAGATAAGATTGAAGAATATTTGAAGGATTATTACTCCCTACACATAAATAAAGTTATAAATAGTTACCACAAATACTCTCCCAAATGTGATATAATTAATATGTGCAAGATGAAATTACACCTATGAAGAGAAGAAATGCATGAGATTAGGCTACATAAGAATCATGTATAATAGGAACATTGAGGTAGGCTTTACAGAGGATTCAGTAAATGCATCATGAAATGAAATTCATTTTTTGCCGTTATAAAAGAATACATGTTTATATGGATACGCAGTCATGTACATACACACTAATTAAAATTCATTTATAAGTCATGTACATACACACTAAATAAAATTCATTTATGAGTAGCTGGGATATTTTTGTACTAAAAAAATTCTACTCTGAATTGTGGCTTTTCCTTTTCATTTAACTTTCCTTTACATTTTATTTATATTCTTGAGATAGCTTCATGACTTTGACAATAAATAAGATACTGAATATTGAGGAAAACTTCTGTGATATCTCAACTCTTGGGAAAATATACAAGAATTTTTACAACCCCTTGATTATATGAGTGCTTTCAGTAGTGTTGCAGATGTATAACCACCTGTACAATTTCAGAACCAAATGAGAGATTGTCCTAGAAATGGTTGGAAATTAAAATATTATTTTTATTATTGATAGGGTTCTCTTGGTCGGCATGATTTAGATGTGGACTAAGTGTGAATTCCAGAATGAGGCAGATTCAGCCTTCCAGTCATAGATATTGTTGAACATGCAAGGACAGTTGTATAACATAAGGCATAAAGGACAGAGTTAGCTGTCTGACCTCTGCAGGCAAGCAAATTCCAAAGCAGAAGGATGAAGGAGGGGCTGAGCAAGCCTGATAAGCTTACTAACACAAATTCATCTGTTGTGTGTCTTCCATTCTCCTAGAGTGTATGAGAAGATAGAGAGAGATGAAGAATATTAATCTAATGGCTATCCCTCTACATGTGAACATCTATCGAGAGGAAGGAGTCTCCTCCCTAGATGAATAGTGCATAAAATCTACTTAGTATATGTGAGAAAACACAATTTCTCAACA